CCCCAAAACCCCAAAACCCCAAAACCCCAAAACCCCTAAACTATTTCCTCGACTTGAATTAAATATGTTATAATAATTTATACTTCATCTCATAAGTAGGAGTAACTAAGATAGATGACTAGTAAATCAGCAGAAGACATACACACTGCTAGAGTGTTCATGATTTGACTCCCTTTCATATTTGTGCTAATGTTTTATCCCCTCGTCTATACATTCTTGATCAGAAGGTATTCACCAAGCACACTGGCCATGGTTAAAAAGTAAGTTCCAGAAGTAAAGCTCGGAAGACTTTCAAAGTGAGGTTTAAACTTTGGAGTTGGATGCAATTGCTTGAATAAATTCTAATAATTTCAGCTGTTTTTCATCAACTTTCTCAATAATTTTCATAAAAGAAAGGTGATTTTATAATCTCACTTTATTTATGCTAAGAGATCTTTGGCCTACCATCAAGCTAATACAAACTTGTTTATAGGTTCCAGGTCGGAAACAAAATAATAGCAATATTAATAGTCTTGCTTTTGATCGCTCCATGCATCTATGGGTCATTTGAGCAGACATATCTTAGAACAGCGATTACACTTGTAGCAATTGTGCTAACCTTCTTCTCAGAAGAACATTTCATGATCAGATTAGTTGTAAGTCTCTATCTCTAATAATCTTTCTAAATTCACGAATAATTCTGAAATATTTAATATAGGGAGCATTCATGCATATGATCGTCGTGATCCTGCTAGAGTATTTTTATTGGAAAGAGCTTACAATGCAAGTAGGATGTTGGGGCCAAGGTAAGATTTCCTTTTGCAAAACTATTCCACAAGCCGTTTCATTTTGATAACAATAAATCTAGGCTCTTGTTCAGGTAAAACAGACTTCGAAAACTTATCTTTCCTCGGAACACTTGGAATCAATAATGGCCTCTTGTTATATGATACCTATATGTCATTTGATTGGGCTGCAGGACTCTATGCTAGATCTATCATCGCCATTGCAATGCATTATTTTGCCATTCTCAACCTCATGGTTCAATGCGTCTGGATTGGCTTCTTCACTAACATCAAAATTGAACGCAAGCTTGAGATTATCAAGAGCAGACCTGATGAAGATGTCGTCTCTGTGTTCACTACTTTCAAGCAAAGCAGCTTCTTCAAAATTTACATGGATATGAAGAGAGGAGGAACCCACAAGGGTACAAAGACTTGCTGCTAAGGCTCTGAAAGTCTCTAATAGTTTCAAATGAGTTCAACTAGATCTCCTTACAAAGGGGTTTTGGGGTTTTGGGGTTTTGGGGTTTTGGGGTTTTGGGG